CTCTTGACCACCACAGCTGTGTAGTAGGATTTGAGCTCAGGGAGTGTGGTGCTGCCTACTTTGTTTATTTTTTTCAGTAGCATTTTGCTTATTCAGGGTTTATACCAATTGCAAATAAAGTTGGAATCTTCCTTTTCCATCTCATTGAAGAATGGAATGGGTATCTATTGGGATTGCATTGAACTCATAGTTAATATTTCATATAATTATCATCTTCATGAAATTGAGACTTCCTACCCAAGAACATGGTACATTTTCCCATTTCTCAAAATCTCTTTTTGTTTCTTATAGCAATGCTTTGTAGTTTTCTGCTTATAGGTCTTTTATGTCTCTAGTTATTTTCCGGTTATCTATTGTGATTGGTATAGTTTTCTTAGCTCTATTTCTAATTCTCCTTGTCACTGTAGAGAAACCCAACTGATTTTGTTTGTTGATCTTGTACCCTGCTACTTTGCTGAATTGATGAACTATGTCTGATAGTTTACTCACTGAATCTTTAGTAGGGTTTTCTAAATATACCATCAAGTAATCTACATATATGACACTGAGAATAATGGGAATCCCAGAGCACTTGATTATGCTCATGCAGATCTTATACCTGGATCAGGAGGCTGTTATAAGAACGGAGCAGGAGAGCACTGTATGGTTTGGAATCGGGAAGGGAGTGAGTGCATCAGGGCTGTATTCTTTCTCCATACCTGCTCAATCTATATGCTGACCAAATTATCCAAGAATCTGGACTCTATGAAGAGGAGTGTGGCATCAGAATTGGAGGGAGTCTCATCAATAATCCACATTATACAGATGATACAACCTTACTTGCTGAAGATGAGGAGGACTTGAAGAGTACTGAAGGTACCATGGAATGCTAGGAAAACAAACAGATTCATCCTGGAAAGGGTCAAACTGGGCGGCTCCTTGGAGGCAAGGATTTTGAGGCTCCGTCTAACATACTTTGGACACGTTGTAAGGAGGAACCAGTCCTTGGAGAGAGACATCATGCTTGGTAGGGTGGAGGGAGAGTGCAGGAGGGGAAGGCCCTCTATGAGGTAGATTGATTCAGTGACTGGGGTAATCGGGATGGGTTTTTCAGAGACGGTGCGATTGGCACAGGACAGAGCAGAGTTCAGGGCTGTTGTACATAGGGTCACTAGAGTCGCAAGCGACTTGATGGCACCTAAGAACAACAACAACAACAACAATCACCATGAGAAATACTGGCCTACAGTGTTCTACTTTGGTGATGTCTTTACCTGACTTTATTATCAGGACTATGTTTGCTTTATAGAATGAATCTCATGGTATTCCATCTTTTTCTATTTTCTGAAATATTTTATGTGGAATTGGTGACATCTCTCCTCTGAATGTTTGATAGAATTCACTAGTAAAACCATCTGGTCAAGGGCTTTTTTCAGTTGTAAGGTGTCTTATTTCCTGTCCAGTTTCTTCTTTTGTAATGTGTTCAGGTGTTCTGCTTTAGTCTGTGTCAATTTGGTTAGGCTGTGAGTTTCTAAGTTTTTGTCAATTTGCTCTACGTTTTCATATTTGTTTGAGTATACTTTTTCATAATATTCTATTGTTAATCCCTTTATTTCATATGGTTCTGTTGTGACATTGCCCCTTTCATCTCTTATTCTGGTTCTTTGAAATTTTTCTTTCTTTCCCCCTGTTGGGTTTGTTAGTGGATTTTCAATTTTATCGACCTTTCAAAAAACCAACTACTGGTCTTGTTAATAGTTTCAATTGTTTGTCTGCTATCTATTCCATTTCTCTCTGCTCCAAGTGTTAGAATTTTATTTCTTTTAGAGCTTGTTGGGAGGGGTTGCTCTTCATTTTGTACTTATTGGAGATGCTGAGTTAGGTAATCAGTTATCATTTTTTCTTCCCTTTTGATGTATTTGCCTATTGTTATGAATTGACTGCTAAATACTGCCTTTGCTGTATCCCAGAGATTTTGGTAAACTGCAAAGTTTTATTGCTATCATTTTGTTGCATTCTTTTAGTGTTGTTGCCAGTTACTTTGGTCCGCCCTGCTTTCTGTGGAATCTCTGTAAGAAGGACTTCCCTCAGTATTTCCTGCAATGCTGGTCTTGTTTTCACAAACTCCTTTATGCTTTGTTTTTCGGAAACTATATTGATCTCTCTGTCATATTTGATGGATAGTTTTGCTGGGTACAATATTCTTGGTTTAAAGTTTTGTTGTTTGAGTGTTTGGTATATGTGTTTCCACTCTCTGCTTGCTCACATAGTCAGAAAATATAATTACTTCAATTTTTCAGTCTCGAAATCAGTGGTGAAAACTAGGCCAGGAGCTGATTGTGGAATGGACCACCAACTACTCATATGCAAGTTTAAGCTGAAGCTGAGGAAAATTAAACCAGGCGCACAGGAGCCAAAATATGACTTTTATTTCATCCCATCTGAATTTCAGAATCATCTCAGAAACAGGTTTGAGGCCTTGATCACTAATGAGCGAAGACCAGATAAGTTGTTGGAGGATATCAAGGGTATCATCCAAAAAGAGTGGAAAAGTTGATTACAAAGACAGAAGAGGAAGAAAAGACAAAAATGGACATCAGAAGAAACTCTGAATATTGCACTGGAGTACAGAGAAGCCAAAGTACAAGGAAGAATTCAAGATACTAAAGAGCTGAACAGAAGATTCCAAAAGGCAGTTCAGAATGACAAAGCAAAATATTACAATGAAATGTGTGAGGAGCTAGAGAAGGAAAATCAAAAGGGCCGAACTCGCTCAGCATTTCTTAAGCTCAAGGAACTGAAGAACAAATTCAAACCTAGAGTTG